CTCTAATTTTGTCTTGTGTTGACTAGGCATGGACTCCAGGCTGGAGCAGCATACTCCAGGTTTGGTCTTACGTAATTGGTATACAGGGTCCCGAAAGAGTCCTTACACAAGTTTCTAAAGACAGTTCTTATGTTGGCCAGTCTTGCATATGCCGCTGATGATGTCCTTTTGATGTGGGTCTCTGGGGACAGGTTCCGTGTGATATCAACCCCCAGATCTTTCTCTCTATATGACTCTTGCAAGATATCACCTCCTAGCTGTCAACTCCCAGGTACCTATTTACTGCTAGGTAACAGGGACATTCAGGGTGAAAGAAACTTTGCCCATATGTTTCTGCCTTGACTGGGAATCGAACCCGGGCCACAGAATTACGAGTCCCGCGCGCTGTCCACTCAGCTATCAGACCCTTCGTCTAATTTCATTATTTTACACTTTCCTGAGTTGAACTTTAGTAGCCATTTTCAAGACCTTTCCACCAGTTTGTCCAAGTCGGCCTGTAGTCTTTGTCTATCTTCATCAGTTTTGATTCTTCTCATAATTTTTGCATCATCAGCAAACATTGAGAGGAACGAGTCTATACCCTCTGGAAGGTCGTTTACATATATTAGAAACAGGATGGATCCAAGTACAGAGCCCTGTGGAACCCCGCTAGTGACATCTCGCCACTCTGATGCCTCCCCCATCACAGTTACTCGCTGTTTCCTGTTGCTTAGGTACTCCCTTATCCACAGGAGCACCATACCTTTTATTCCAGCCTGTGGCTCCAACTTTTGTAACAGCCTTTTGTAAGGTACTGTGTCAAAGGCTTTCTGACAGTCTAAAAAAATGCAGTCTGCCCATCTTTCTCTTTCTTGCCTAATTTGTGTTGCTTGATCATAGAATTCTATTAAATCAGCGAGGCACGATTTACCATCTCTGAACCCATGTTGGTGGTGTGTTACAAAGCTATTTTCCTCCAGATGATCTACGAGCCTTTTCCTCAAGATCTTCTCCATCACTTTGCATGGTATACGAGTTAGGGAAACTGTCCTGTAGTTCATTGCCTCTTGCCTGTCACCCTTTTTGTATATTGGGACTATATTAGCTGTCTTTCCAGCTTTCCGGTAGGCCTCCTGTTTCCAGTGACCTGCTATGCACCATAGAGAGTGGAACACTTAGTACTTCTGCACCTTCCTTTAGTATGCAAGATGAGATTCTGTCCGGCCCAACAGCCTTAGTCACATTCAGCTCCAACAGATTCCTTTTGACCTCATCACTGGTGAGGTCAAATTCCTCCAAGGTTGCTTGGTTTGCCGCCTCCTCATTTAGTGCAGGGGCTTCTCCTTGTTCTATTGTGAGACCTCCTGGAATCTCTTGTTGAGTTCTTCACACACACTTCCAAGTCATTCTCTGTGTATCTGTTCTACCACTGCTGTTTTTCTCCTGATGTGGATGTGGAGCAGTTTTGGTTCAGTCTTAGCTTTACTCGCAATGTCATTTTCATACCGTCTCTTTGCTTCTCTCCTCAATCTGAGGCACTCATTTCTGTTGCTTCGCTACTGCACATTCCTGATTGAACCATGGATTCTACTGGTGCTTTCAATTTTTCTCTTTCTCCATCTTCTCTTTTTTCTTTCTGTGTATTCACCTAGTTGTGCTTGCAAGAGTTGAGCTTTGCTCTTTCGGTCCGCCTCTTAACTGTCACTCAACTGTTAATAACTACTAACTAACTTATTCCCCCCCCCCTTCCCCCACACATACACACCCAGGAAGCAGCCCGTAACAGCTGTCAACTCCCAGGTACCTATTTACTGCTAGGTAACAGGGGTATTCAGAGTGAAAGAAACTTTCCCCATGTGTTTCTGCCTTGACCGGGAATCGAACCCAGGCCACAGAATGACGAGTCCCGCGCACTTTCCACTCAGCTATCAGACCCTCCCCCCATTGTGTGTGTGTGTGTGTGTGTGTGTGTGTGTGTGTGTGTGTGTGTGTGTGTGTGTGTATGTGTGTACTCACCTATTTGTACACACCTATTTGAACTTGCGGGGGTTGAGCTCTGGCTCTTTGGTCCCGCCTCTCAACCGTCAATCAACTGGTGTACAGATTCCTGAGCCTACTGGGCTCTATCATACCTACACTTGAAACTGTGTATGGAGTCAGCCTCCACCACAACACTTCCTAATGCATTCCATTTGTCAACCACTCTGACACTAAAAAAGTTCTTTCTAATATCTCTGTGGCTCATTTGGGCGTTCAGTTTCCACCTGTGTCCAATTGTGCGTGTGCCCCTTGTGTTAAATAGCCTGTCTTTATCTACCCTATCAATTCCCTTGAGAATCTTGAATGTGGTGATCATGTCCCCCCTAACTCTTCCGTCTTCCAGCGAAGTGAGGTTTAATTCCCGTAGTCTCTCCTCGTAGCTCATACCTCTCCGCTCGGGTACTAGTCTGGTGGCAAATTTTTCAACCTTTTCCAGTTTAGTCTTATCCTTGACTAGATATGGACTCCATGCTGGGGCTGCATACTCCAGGATTGGCCTGACATATGTGGTATACAAAGTTCTGAATGATTCTTTACACAAATTTCTGAATGCCGTTCGTATGTTGGCCAGCCTGGCATATGCCGCTGATGTTATCCTCTTGATATGTGCTGGCTCGGGCACATATCATATATATATATATATATATATATATATATATATATATATATATATATATATATATATATATATATATATATATATATATATATATATATATATATATATGTCGGGCACATATCATATTTGCTTCTGGGAGTATGGGTTCGAGTCACTTCTGGGGTGTGAGTTTTCAGTTGCATATGTCCTGGGGACCATTCAGGCTTGTTCGCATTTGTGTTCCTCACGTGTGCCCCAAAGAATGAGGTGATTTGGTAAAATGCTATGCCCAAGATAACTATCCGAGTGCCGGCGGTGGGGTGGTTCATATAGCCTCGGCTATCACCTCATTATGTCCGGTCGTGATGGTCAAGTGGATTAAGGCGTCTTGTACATACCAGTTGCGTTGCTTCTGGGAGTATGGGTTCGAGTCACTTCTGGGGTGTGAGTTTTCAGTTGCATATGTCCTGGGGACCATTCATAGCTTGTTCGCATTTGTGTTCCTCACGTGTGCCCCAAAGAATGAGGTGATTTGGTAAAATGCTATGCCCAAGATAACTATCCGAGTGCCGGCGGTGGGGTGGTTCATATAGCCTCGGCTATCACCTCATTATGTCCGGTCGTGATGGTCAAGTGGATTAAGGCGTCTTGTACATACCAGTTGCGTTGCTTCTGGGAGTATGGGTTCGAGTCACTTCTGGGGTGTGAGTTTTCAGTTGCATATGTCCTGGGGACCATTCAGGCTTGTTCGCATATATATACATATATATATATATATGTATATGTCGTACCTAGTAGCCAGAACGCACTTCTCAGCCTACTATGCAAGGCCCGATTTGCCTAATAAGCCAAGTTTTCATGAAATAATTGTTTTTCGACTACCTAACCTACCTAACCTAACCTAACCTAACTTTTTCGACTACCTAACCTAACCTAACCTATAAAGATAGGTTAGGTTAGGTTAGGTAGGGTTGGTTAGGTTCGGTCATATATCTACGTTAATTTTAACTCCAATAAAAAAAAATTGACCTCATAGATAATGAAATGGGTAGCTGTATCATTTCATAAGAAAAAAATTAGAGAAAATATAATAATTCAGGAAAACTTGGCTTATTAGGCAAATCGGGCCTTGCATAGTAGGCTGAGAAGTGCGTTCTGGCTACTAGGTACGACACATTATATATATATATATATATATATATATATATATATATATATATATATATATATATATATATATATATATATATATATATATATATATATATATATATATATATATATATATATATATATATATATGTCGTACCTAGTAGCGACACATTATATATATATATATATATATATATATATATATATATATATATATATATATATATATATATAAATATATATGTCGTACCTAGTAGCCAGAACGCACTTCTCAGCCTACTATGCAAGGCCCGATTTGCCTAATAAGCCAAGTTTTCCTGAATTAATATATTTTCTCTAATTTTTTTCTTGTGAAATGATAAAGCTACCCATTTCATTATGTATGAGATCAATTTTTTTTTATTGGAGATAAAATTAACGTAGATATATGACCGAACCTAACCAACCCTACCTAACCTAACCTAACCTAACTTTATAGGTTAGGTTCGGTTAGGTAGCCGAAAAAGTTAGGTTAGGTTAGGTTAGGTAGGTTAGGTAGTCGAAAAAACATTAATTCATGAAAACTTGGCTTATTAGGCAAATCGGGCCTTGCATAGTAGGCTGAGAAGTGCGTTCTGGCTACTAGGTACGACATATATATTTATATATATATATATATATATATATATATATATATATATATATATATATATATATATATATATATATATAATGTGTCGCTACTAGGTACGACATATATATATATATATATATATATATATATATATATATATATATATATATATATGTGTGTGTGTGTGTGTGTGTGTGTGTGTGTGTGTGTGTGTGTGTGTGTGTGTGTGTGTGTGTGTGTGTGTGTGTGTGATTATATTGAATTGATACCAAAACTGGGTTAATCACACTATTAGGAGAAATCTTTACTCGAGAATCTTCAGCGCATTAAATTTTGTAATTAATCAAAACACTCTGATGTATATTGCATAGTTTATGAATATGCATCCGCTTTGTTTTTGCACATGCCTAGAACACCGTGACTTACGATGAAAGTGCAGAGAAGTTCCAAGCTATTACGAATATTTAGCACTTGGAAGGTATCAGGATAAAGATTTAGAATGGGACAGGGTATAGATTGGTGTCCAAACACTTGGACGGTCCGGGATTGTACCCCGACAATTGTTAAGACATTTTTATCTCTAAAAAAAATCGATTAAACCATCTTTTGAACTGTTACCTGACAGCGGGCCTCAGGATCGGCATAATAACCCGTGAGCTTATCAGCACAGGAGAAGGAAGTAAGGGGGATGGTGCTGTAGATTGGGTAGTCCTTGTGGGATATGCCAGGCACCCCAGGGATGCGACGGTCAAGCTGAAATATATTAATTTAGTTACGCACAACATATGTTCCGTTCTCTATAACAATTTACATTTTTTGTGACAGTACTATTGTCGTAGACTGCAGTATTTGGAACTTTGTTCTAATTTAGTATTTAATATATTCGGCAGATTTGTTCAATGACTTTATTAATAAAATGGTTATTTGTGTATTCCCTAACCCTAAAAACGCATGAATTTATGATAATTCGACCACGAGGTCGAACTAATGACTATTCACAAGATGCTACCTTCTCTCTCTCTCTCCCTCCTTCCCTCCCTCCCTCCTTCCCCTCCTCTCTCTCTCTCTCTCTCTCCTTCCCTCCCTCCCTCCTTCCCCTCCTCTCTCTCTCTCTCTGTCTCTCTCTCTGTCTCTGTCTCTCTCTCTCTCTCTCTCTCTCTCTCTCTCTCTCTCTCTCTCTCTCTCTCTCTCTCTCTCTCTCTCTCTCTCTCTCTCTCTCTCTCTCTCTCTCTCTCTCTCTCTCTCTCTCTCTCTCTCTCTCTCTCTCTCTCTCTCTCTCTCTCTCTCTCTCTCTCTCTCTCTCTCTCTGTCTCTCTCTCTGTCTCTCTCTCTCTCTCTCTCTCTCTCTCTCTCTCTCTCTCTCTCTCTCTCTCTCTCTCTCTCTCTCTCTCTCTCTCTCTCTCTCTCTCTCTCTCTCTCTCTCTCTCTCTCTCTCTCTCTCTCTCTCTCTCTCTCTCTCTCTCTCTCTCTCTCTCTCTCTCTCTCTCTCTCTCTCTCTCTCTCTCTCTCTCTCTCTCTCTCTCTCTCTCTCTCTCTCTCTCTCTCTCTCTCTCTCTCTCTCTCTCTCTCTCTCTCTCTCTCTCTCTCTCTCTCTCTCTCTCTCTCTCTCTCTCTCTCTTTCTTTCTCTCTCTCTCTCTCTCTCTCTCTCTCTCTCTCTCTCTCTCTCTCTCTCTCTCTCTCTCTCTCTCTCTCTCTCTCTCTCTCTCTCTCTCTCTCTCTCTCTCTCTCTCTCTCTGTCTCTCTCTCTGTCTCTCTCTCTGTCTCTCTCTCTGTCTCTCTCTCTGTCTCTCTCTCTCTCTCTCTCTGTCTCTCTCTCTCTCTCTCTCTCTGTCTCTGTCTCTGTCTCTCTCTCTCTCTCTCTCTCTCTCTCTCTCTCTCTCTCTCTCTCTCTCTCTCTCTCTCTCTCTCTCTCTCTCTCTCTCTCTCTCTCTCTCTCTCTCTCTCTCTCTCTCTCTCTCTCTCTCTCTCTCTCTCTCTCTCTCTCTCTCTCTCTCTCTCTCTCTCTCTCTCTCTCTCTCTCTCTCTCTCTCTCTCTCTCTCTCTCTCTCTCTCTCTCTCTCTCTCTCTCTCTCTCTCTCTCTCTCTCTCTCTCTCTCTCTCTCTCTCTCTCTCTCTCTCTCTCTCTCTCTCTCTCTCTCTCTCTCTCTCTCTCTCTCTCTCTCTCTCTCTCTCTCTCTCTCTCTCTCTCTCTCTCTCTCTCTCTCTCTCTCTCTCTCTCTCTCTCTCTCTCTCTCTCTCTCTCTCTCTCACTCTCTCACTCTCTCTGTAACAGCGTGTCTCCCCACCTGTGCGTGAGGTGACTGCAGGCTGTTTGTCTGGTCGAGTTGCTGCTGTAATACGTGTACAAGGGGGTCCTTGGCCGGATGAGACGTCACGACACTCTGTGGGGACGTTGAGAATTTTGGTTCTGACTTCTTAAAAGCAGGATGTGACGTCATAAAGTTTGGCTCTGACGTCACAAGGGCTGGATTGGGAACGTGTACGGGTTGCCGACTGGTATCAAATGAGTTTAATCGTGAAAATTGTGGGTCGAATCGTCTTTTTGTGGGTTTATATAGCACTTGTTCAGACGAAAATGGCTTCTTGATTCGGTCAAACGGCCTCTTTGTTGGGTCAAACGGCCCGATGGTTGGGTCAAACGGCCTATTGGTTGGGTCAAACGGCCTGATGGGTTGATCAAACGGCCTGATGGTTGGATCAAACGGCCTGATGGTTGGATCAAATGGCCTGATGGTTGGATCAAACGGCCTGATGGTTGGATCAAACGGCCTGATGGTTGGGTCAAACGGCCTGATGGTTGGGTCAAACGGCCTAATGGTTGGATCAAACGGCCTGATGGTTGAGTCAAACGGCCTGATGGTTGGATCAAACGGCCTGATGGTTGGATGGCCTGATGGTTGGATCAAACGGCCTAATGGTTGGATCAAACGGCCTGATGGTTGGGTCAAACGGCCTGATGGTTGGATCAAACGGCCTGATGGTTGGATCAAACGGCCTGATGGTTGGATCAAACGGCCTGATGGTTGGGTCATACGGCTTCTTAGTTGAGTCAAACGGCCTGATGGTTGGGTCAAACGGCCTGATGGTTGGGTCAAACGGCCTGATGGTTGGGTCAAACGGCCTGATGGTTGGATCAAACGGCCTGACAAACGGCCTGATGGTTGGGTCATACGGCTTCTTAGTTGAGTCAAACGGCCTGATGGTTGGGTCAAACGGCCTGATGGTTGGGTCAAACGGCCTGATGGTTGGGTCAAACGGCCTGATGGTTGGATCAAACGGCCTGATGGTTGGGTCAAACGGCCTGATGGTTGGGTCATACGGCTTCTTAGTTGAGTCAAACGGCCTGATGGTTGGATCAAATGGCCTGATGGTTGGATCAAACGGCCTGATGGTTGGGTCAAACGGCCTGATGGTTGGATCAAACGGCCTGATGGTTGGGTCAAACGGCCTGATGGTTGGGTCATGCGGCTTCTTAGTTGAGTCAAACGGCCTGATGGTTGGATCAAACGGCCTGATGGTTGGATCAAACGGCCTGATGGTTGGATCAAACGGCCTGATGGTTTGATCAAACGGCCTGATGGTTGGGTCAAACGGCCTGTTGGTTGGGTCATGCGGCTTCTTAGTTGAGTCAAACGGCCTGATGGTTGGATCAAATGGCCTGATGGTTGGATCAAACGGCCTGATGGTTGGGTCAAACGGCCTGATGGTTGGATCAAACGGCCTGATGGTTGGGTCAAACGGCCTGATGGTTGGGTCATGCGGCTTCTTAGTTGAGTCAAACGGCCTGATGGTTGGATCAAACGTCCTGATGGTTGGATCAAACGGCCTGATGGTTGGGTCAAACGGCCTGATGGTTGGGTCATGCGGCTTCTTAGTTGAGTCAAACGGCCTGATGGTTGGATCAAATGGCCTGATGGTTGGATCAAACGGCCTGATGGTTGGGTCAAACGGCCTGATGGTTGGATCAAACGGCCTGATGGTTGGGTCAAACGGCCTGATGGTTGGATCAAACGGCCTGATGGTTGGATCAAACGGCCTGATGGTTGGGTCAAACGGCCTGATGGTTGGGTCAAACGGCCTGATGGTTGGATCAAACGGCCTGATGGTTGGATCAAAAGGCCTGATGGTTGGGTCAAACGGCCTGATGGTTGGATCAAACGGCCTGATGGTTGGGTCAAACGGTCTGGTGGTTGGGTCAAACGGCCTGATGGTTGGGTCAAACGGCCTGATGGTTGGATCAAACAGCCTGATGGTTGGGTCAAACGGCCTGATGGTTGGGTCAAACGGCCTGATGGTTGGGTCAAACGGCCTATTGGTTGGATCAAACGGCCTGATGGTTGGGTCAAACGGCCTGATGGTTGGGTCTAATGGCCTGATGGTTGGGTCAAACGGCCTGATGGTTGGCTCTAATGGCCTGATGGTTGGGTCAAACGGCCTGATGGTTGGCTCTAACGGCCTGATGGTTGGGTCAAACGGCCTGATGGTTGGCTCTAACGGCCTGATGGTTGGGTCAAACGGCCTGATGGATGGGTCAAACGGCCTGTTAGTTGGGTCAAACGGCTTGATGGTTGGGTCAAACGGCCTGATGGTTGGGTCAAACGGCCTCTTGGTTGGATCAAATCCCTTCCAAACAGTTTCAGCTGTTGTTTCGTTCAAATTAAATGCTTTTGTAATAGACCTGTGGCTCTTCGGTGGCTCTCTAATATATACCACCGGCCTCCTCATAGGTTCAGCTGGTCTGTTAGGTTCAAATTGTTTGATGTCATGTTCAATAGGCCGTTTATTCCAATCAAATTGTTTGAAAGGCAATTCGAATGGCCTCTGAGGAGGTTCAACCGAATGATAATTATTTTCATTATCAGCCAAAATGGGCTCACGTAGTCTTTGATCCGTTCCAAAAACTCTAAAATCTGGTTCAGATTGCGTTTCAGTGGGTCTCAGTGTGTGAAATTGGGATTGAAGCAGCTCTGAAGGGGGTTGATCTAGGTTGATCTCGTGTTCAAATGGTCTTTTGTTAGCTTCGAATAGTTGAAAATGAGGCTCAAATGATTCAAAAGCTAATTCGTATGATTGAAGTTTGGGTTCAAATGGTCGTTTGAGTAATTCAAACGAATGAACCAGTGGCTCAAATGGCCTTATAGTATGCTCCTGTGTCTGGACCAGGGGTTCAAATGGCCTTGTTGTGTGATCAAATGTCGGAGTTTTGGATTGAAATGGTGTTTCATTCGTTCCAAGTGTCTGAAATGGTGTTTTAGTTGTTTCAGATGACTGAAATTGAGGTTGAAGTTGTCCGGTAGGCGGCTTCTTTGCATGAATTACTGGTTCAATTGGTGTTTTAGTGGCATTGAATGAGATATAATGGGGTTCTGATAAAGAACCAGGTTCATATGACTGTATTTCGGGAAGAAATGGTTTTTCTATAGATTGGAATGATTGCAATTGGGGTCCGAATTGTCTTATAATAGTTTCAGGTAACTGAGATTGGGGTTCAGATGGTTTTGGAGTAGATTCGTATATCTGATTTAGGGATTCAAACAGTCTTTTTGTAGTTTCGAACGACTGAATCTGAGAATCAAATGGTTGTGTAGTGGGAACAAAAGTCTGAAATGGTCTTTTAGTCAATTGCAATGTGTGATATTGAGGCCGAAAACGTCTTGTAGTAAGTTGATGTGATCTATCAGGAGGAGGGAGGGGAAGATTTCGATGTGGGGAAGGAGGAGGAGGTTGAGGAATAGGAGGAGGAGAAGGAGGCGGAAGAGGAGGTGGAGATGACTGGAAATATGGTTCAAGATGATCTTCTGAAGAAGAATCTGAAGATGACTGTGGCAGGTCCCGTTGAAGCTGAGAAGCAAGTGCTGTAGGAGAGGTTGAAGGAGTTGTGAGCCTCCTTGGCAGGTGTCCAGACGAAGAAGAAGGAGGAAAAGGAGGCAGTGTAGGAGTGAAAGGAAGTTGAGGAGGAGAGAGAACTCGTGGCGGCCGGCGGTAAGAGAGTGGAACATACAAAGAAGT